TTCAAGAAGATGCAGTCATATTAACACTTCAATGAGATGAGTCAAATGTAACACTTACTGACTGACTGACTGACCTGATTTACCGAATGACTGACTGACTGACCTGATTTACTGAATGACTGACTTACTGACCTGATTTACTGAATGACTTGACTGACCTGACTTGACTGGTTTACTGAATAATTGACCTGATTTACTGACTGGCTTACTGACTTGACTGACTTACTGACTTGATTGACTGATTTACCGAATAATTTTACTGCCTAACTTACTGACCTACTGACTTGACTGATTTATCAAATAACAACTGATTTACTGAATTACTGTCTGATCTACCGACTTGACTTTTTTTCTGACTGGACTGATCTACTGATTTCAATGATTTACTGAATGACTTACTTGACTGACTGACCTACTGACTTGACTGATTTGTAACAAAAAAAGGCACAATTCCGTTACTGGAACAATACACAAATAACCCGCACATAGGAGAGAGGAGCTTACGACGACGTTTCGGTCCGACTTGGACCATTTACAAAGTCACACTAACAGAAAAGAGAGAAGTAGGCATTATATATAGGCCAGCAGACGATGACGGGAGCAAGAGAGGTAGTAGTGGAGGTGGTGGTGGTAGTGGTAGTAGTAGTAGTACTTGTAGTCAAATGCTAAGAAAGAGGAGCACTGCAAGGGAGCTAGAGGCCCAGAGAGGGAAGGAGCAAGAACACAGAGGGTAGGAGCAAGAACACATAGGGTAGAAGCAAGAACACAGAGGGTAGGAGCAGGAACACAGAGGGTACGAGCAAGAACACAGAGGGTAGGAGCAAGAGCACAGTGGGTAGGAGCAAGAACACAGAGGGTAGGAGCAAGAACACAGTGGGTAGGAGCAAGAACACAGAGGGTAGGAGCAAGAACACAGAGGGTAGGAGCAAGAACACAGAGGGTAGGAGCAAGAACACAGAGGGTAGGAGCAAGAGCACAGAGGGTAGGAGCAAGAACACAGAGGGTACGAGCAAGAACACAGAGGTTAGGAGCAATAACACATAGAGTAGGAGCAAGAACACAGTGGGCAGAAGCAAGAACACAGAGGGTATGAGCAAGAACACAGAGGGTAGGAGTAAGAACACAGAGGGTAGGAGCAAGAACACAGTGGGCAGGAGCAAGAACACAGTGGGTAGGAGCAAGAACACAGTGGGTAGGAGCAAGAACACAGTGGGTAGGAGCAAGAACACAGTGGGCAGGGGCAAGAACACAGAGGGTGGAAAAACAATAAAGTAATAAGAGAACAAATACCCAAGGGAGAAGAAAGAAAACCCAATAAAAAAAGAGGAAAGCGGGAAGGGCAAGAGGGAGAAGGGGAAAAAGAATCAGGTTAAGTCACGGGTGTTCTGAAGTTTGGAGCATTTTACAATGTGGTGGGAAAGGAAGTCATCTACAGAGATGAAGCCACGACTAAGATTCATACAAGGAAAGTTGTGTATAAGGGAGGATTCAACCAGACGGCGACTGTGAAAGTGAGAAGTGGGATAGACAGTTTTAGCAGAAGACCAGTCAATAGGATGACTGTGATCTCTGACATGACAGAAAAGAGAGTTGTTAGTGTCGGCAAAGCCTAACACTACTTATGTGTTCACTATGTCTGTCAGAAAGAGATCGGCCAGTTTCTCCAAAGTACTGTGAGGAGAGGTATGAACGAAATTAGTGCGAGGAATGTTAGTCTGGCGAAAAGTAAGTTTTATGTATAAGGAACGGAGAGAATTGTTGAGATTAGAAAGACCGGAAATGTAGGAAAGGCAGTGGACAGAAGAGTTTCCAGGAGTAGAGAGTTTGGGAGAGAAGAAATTACGTTTAGCACCTGAGAAGGCAGAGTCTATGAAATGGGAAGCGTAGCCAAGACGGGTGAATGAATTATGAAGAGTGGAAATTTCTGAATCAAGGAACTGTTTATCACAAATGCGGAGAGCACCGAGAAAGAGGGATATAAGAACACTTTTCTTGACAGAGGAAGCATGATAAGAAAAGTAGTGAATGTACATGCCACTGTGCATAGGCTTGTGGTAAACGGAAAAGGCAAAACCTATATATGAGCGGTGGGCATGAACATCAAGGAAAGGAAGCAAGGAATTAGATTCTCATTCAGCTTTAAACTTAATGGAAGAGGCAAGATTATTAAGAGCATCAAGAAATGGTTGGAAGAGACTAGAGTCATGAGGCCACAGAGCAAAGATGTCATCTACATAGCAGAGCCAGAGTGAAGGTTGCACATCAATGGTAGGAAGAACAGTCTCGAAGTATTCCATGTAAAGATTTGCAAGAACAGGAGATAGAGAGCCCATAGCGACACCGAAGGTTTGAGAATAATATATATACTACCTCCTTCTCTCCTTTCAGCTAATGTGACTTTGTAAATGGTCCAAGTCGGACCGATACGTCGTCGTAAGCTCCACTCTTCTATGTGCGAGTTATTTGTGTATTGACTTTTTACTGAATGACTTGATTGATTTACTGACTTGAGTGCTTTACTAACCAACGTGACTGATTTACTGAATGGCATTACCAATTGACTTATTGATTTACTGAATGACTTGACTGACTGACTTGAATGAGTGACCTACTGACTGGAATGATTGACCTACTGAACTGAATGACTGTACTGACTTGACTGACCTAATGACTCACTCGACTGCACTGACTTACTGACTGGACTACCATCCACCTCAGCCCAGATGAGCCTCAGTATGCCTCTCCACTCCCTCCTTCACAGTCATCCACAAACACCAGCAACCACAATTTAGGGTAATGAATATTATTTCTGTTGCATTGTAGCCTTGAACAACAGAAAAAAATAAATAACGACAATGAACAACAATTGCATTATCATTTTCATTTGCGTAAGATTTGGAGACCTAAAATAAAGTTTGGCATTTTTGGGGGTCCCAAGACCGTAACCCTAATTTTCCAATAAGTTCTTCAGTTCCTTTAACACGGATTCCTCTAACGCTGCATTTTCAGGACCCTGACTACCGTCTTAATCGACGGTATACTGTATATGACATGCTATGTTACAAACCACAGGGAGAGTTCAGCAGTGAGTGTCCATGGACCTAGGGTAAATAAAAAAATTTGGCAAATAAGCCTTGGATCCATTGGGATTACTGCCTATAATTTTGATAAGAGAAGAAATGCTTGCATAACTAGCTTGTCTCTGTTTAAGTTTCAATACGTCTTGATTCGATCAAGTTATAATTTTGAAAAAGTTGTGAGAGTTAGAGCTTGTAATCTGAAGTGTCTAATTTTCAGTAGGTCTACTGAAATGTTCTTCTGTTTTTATTTCTAAACGGTTAGGAGGGATGAGTGCGATCTACACAGCACTAACCAGCAGACTTAGAAGAGAATTCTTATATTTTTATGTTCTATACCGGAGGATACATGTACGTTGTACACAAATGGCACAGTACCGACAAGGTGAAGGATTAGACACATGTGCAACATCTGGGTATCTTTATCTGTAGACGTTTCGCCATCCAGTGACTTTATCAATACAATACAAGGGAATAATATAAAGAATTATATACAAAACATAAGGTAATCAGTCCCTAAGCCTTGGGACTGAAGGAAATGAAGCACAGTAATGTAGCTTTCTTTTATATACCGGCGACGACACGTGATGGACGTGTAGCAGACGAAGACATTGTCATTGGTAGGTGGTATTTCCCATTGGAAAAAGGTTATACCCATGGAATGTGCCTCTATTCCTTCAAAACTACGATGTTTTTCACTAACTCAAAGGATGAGGGACTGATTACCTCATCTTTTGTATATAATCCTTCATATTGTGTCCTTGAATTGTACTGATAAAGCTATTGCTGGCGAAATATCTACAAATAAAGATACCCAGAGGTTACACACGTGTCTATTTCCTCATCTATCTGTAGGTTACCTACATGTGTCCTGTAGGTTACCTGTGGTCGCTAGTAGTGGTCACAGCCTCCGCTGCTCGGTTCAATACTTTAAATTTACCCTGAAAGTATTCATTGTATGCAATAACAAGCTAGTGATAACAGATGGAAGATAACCACATTCAACTCCCCCATCCTGTGGTTGTTTTCCAGGACCTAGTATGTTTATCTTCTAAATTTTCCCAGGCAATACTCACAGTGGACGACCAGCCGAGTACCGTCTTCAAGAGATGACTGTAGTAGACCGGGGGTCTCGGCCCGGCAGGAGAGATAGCGGCTCTGGTCGACAGGTGTGGCCACCACCACCACCTTGCTCTCAGTCACGTTACCGTTGTCTCGCTGTCTCTCTCCACTTGTCCTCAGTGGTCGTCCATCCAGCCACCAGCTAACAGTGGGCGGAGGCCGCGCTCCTACCACTATACACACCACAGTCACGCCCACGCCCGCAGAGATTGGCCCATCAACACCCATGAGGTTGATCGACATGGGTGGTACTGTGGAAGGAGGAACGGAGAGAGATTTTGGAGTTAAACAGAAATGGAAAATTACTCCTTAAATCTACCCACTACAAGAGTATATCCACATGTGAATGTATAAAAGATTCTTTCTTCGGAATTTCCTAATAGTTCCTGCACTTGTAGTGTTTCCTTTCAAAATCCATTTAGAAGTGAATCAGAATCCTCTTTGCAAAACTGGGGAAAAAATATACCCATGGCAAGTGAGTCCTGAAACTCGCAGGTCAGTGTGTTAACTACTGGCCAGGTATAATTTTGTACATCATAGGAAGGCTAGCAGGTTTTTACGGACAAATTACACGCAAGAGCGGCTGTACTGTGCTAATAAAAAAGGCAAGGAATAAAATGCGATAATTTCTGAGTGTCGCATCTGATTATCTTCAAACTTTCCGTATTGATAACTTAATGCAATTTTTGAGTGTCTTGAAGGTTAAAGTGCTCATGTATTTTAGACAATTAGTAATTTTGGTCTCTTTAAGAGGTCAGAATTCTATTTCTGCGCGTAATATTTTTCAACTTCATTATTTCATTGAATAAATTTCCGTATTTTAGTTTACTTATAATACTTGTGAACGACTCTACTGACTCCTCTCAGATGTTGTTTACTTATAATACTTGTGAACGACTCTACTGACTCCTCTCAGATGTTGTTTACTTATAATACTTGTGAACGACTCTACTGACTCCTCTCAGATGTTGTTTACTTATAATACTTGTGAACGACTCTACTGACTCCTCTCAGATGTTGTTAACTTATAATACTTGTGAACGACTCTACTGACTCCTCTCAGATGTTGTTTACTTATAATACTTGTGAACGACTCTACTGACTCCTCTCAGATGTTGTTTACTTATAATACTTGTGAACGACTCTACTGACTCCTCTCAGATGTTGTTTACTTATAATACTTGTGAACGACTCTACTGACTCCTCTAAGATGTTGTTTACTTATAATACTTGTGAACGACTCTACTGACTCCTCTCAGATGTTGTTTACTTATAATACTTGTGAACGACTCTACTGACTCCTCCCAGATGTTGTTTACTTATAACACTTGTGAATGACTCTACTGACTCCTCTCAGATGTTTACTTATAATACTTGTGAACGACTCTACTGACTCCTCTCAGATGTTTACTTATAATACTTGTGAACGACTCTACTGACTCCTCTCAGATGTTGTTTACTTATAATACTTGTGAACGACTCTACTGACTCCTCTCAGATGTTTAAAGCGAATATTTAGAGGCATTATTAACTTATGCCGCACTGAGACACTGAGACAGTGAAGCACTGAGACACTGAGACAGTGAGACACTGAGACAGTGAGACACTGAGACAGTGAAGCACTGAGACAGTGAGACAGTGAAGCACTGAGCCAGTGAGACAGTGAGACACTGAGACAGTGAGACACTGAGACAGTGAAGCACTGAGACAGTGAGACAGTGAAGCACTGAGACAGAGAGACAGTGAGACACTGAGACAGTGAAGCACTGAGACACTGAGACAGTGAACCACTGAGGCACTGAGACAGTGAAGCACTGAGACACTGAGACAGTGAAGCACAGAGACACTGAGACAGTGAAGCACTGAGGCACTGAGACAGTGAAGCACTGAGACACTGAGACAGTGAAGCACTGAGACACTGAGACAGTGAAGCACTGAGACACTGAGACAGTGAAGCACTGAGGCACTGAGACAGTGAAGCACTGAGTCACTGAGACAGTGAAGCACTGAGACAGTGAAGCACTGAGACACTGAGACAGTGAAGCACTGAGACACTGAGACAGTGAAGCACTGAGGCACTGAGACAGTGAAGCACTGAGACACTGAGACAGTGAAGCACTGAGACACTGAGACAGTGAAGCACTGAGACACTGAGACAGTGAAGCACTGAGACACTGAGACAGTGAAGCACTGAGACAGTGAAGCACTGAGGCACTGAGACAGTGAAGCACTGAGACACTGAGACAGTGAATCACTGAGACACTGAGACAGTGAAGCACTGAGACACTGAGACAGTGAAGCACTGAGACACTGAGACAGTGAAGCACTGAGACACTGAGACAGTGAAGCACTGAGGCACTGAGACAGTGAAGCACTGAGGCACTGAGACAGTGAAGCACTAAGCCAGTGAAGCACTGAGGCAGAGACACTGAGACAGTGAAGCACTGAGACACTGAGACAGTGAAGCACTGAGGCACTGAGACAGTGAAGCACTAAGCCAGTGAAGCACTGAGGCACTGAGACACTGAGACAGTGAAGCACTGAGCCAGTGAAGCACTGAGGCACTGAGACACTGAGCCAGTGAAACACTGAGACACTGAGACAGTGAAGCACTGAGACACTGAGACAGTGAAGCACTGAGGCACTGAGACAGTGAAGCACTGAGCCAGTGAAGCACTGAGGCACTGAGACAGTGAAGCACTGAGGCATTGAGACAGTGAAGGACTGAGATATTGAGACAGTGAAGCACTGAGACAGTGAAGCAATGAGGCACTGAGAAAGTGAAGCACGGAGGCATTGAGACAGTGAAGGACTGAGATATTGAGACAGTGAAGCACTGAGACAGTGAAGCAATGAGGCACTGAGACAGTGAAACACTGAGGCACTGAGACAGTGAAGCACTGAGGCACTGAGACAGTAAAGCACTGAGACAGTGAAGCACTGAGATACCGAGACAGTGAAGAACTGAGGTAATGAAACAGTGAAGCACTGAGGCACCGAGACTGTGAAGCACTGAGACAGTGAAGCACTGAGGCACCGAGACAGTGAAGCACTGAGGTACTTAGACAGTGAAGCACTGAGGCACTGAGACAGTGAAGCAATGAGGCACCGAGACAGTGAAGCACTGAGGTACTGAGACAGAGAAGCACTGAGGTACTGAGACAGTGAAGCACTGAGGCACCGAGACAATGAAGCACTGAGGCATTGAGAGCACTCAGGCAGTGAAGCACTGAGATAGCGAAGCACTGAGGCATTGAGACAGTGAAGGACTGAGGCACTGAGCGGGTGAAGCACTGAGGAACTGAGACAGTGAACCACTGAGGTACTGAGACAGTGAAGCACTGAGGCACTGAGACAGTGAAGCACTGAGGCACTGAAATAGTGAATCACTTAGTCACTGAGACAGTGAAGCACTGAGACATTGAGAGCACTCAGTGAAGCACTGAGATAGCGAAGCACTGAGGCACTGAAACAGTGAAGGACTGAGGCACTGAGCGGGTGAAGCACTGAGGCACTGAGACAGTGAAGCACTGAGGCACTGAGACAGTGAAGCACTGAGGCACTGAGACAGTGAAGCACTGAGGCACTGAGACAGTGAAGCACTGAGGCACTGAGACAGTAAAGCACTGAAACACCGAGACAGTGAAGCACTGAGGTAATGAGACAGTAAAGCACTGAGGCACCGAGACTGTGAAGCACTGAGACAGTGAAGCACTGAGACAGTGAAGCACTCAGGCACTGAGACAGTGAAGCACTGAGGCACTGAGTGCGTGAAGCACTGAGACAGTGAAGCACTCAGGCACTGAGACAGTGAAGCACTGAGGCACTGATACAGTGAAGCACTGATGCATTGAAATAGTGAAGCACTGAGACAGTGAAGCACTGAGGCACTGAGACAGTGAAGCACGGAGGCACTTGGACAGTGAAGGACTGAGACAGTGAAGCACTGAGACAGTGAAGCAATGAGGGACTGAGACGGTGAAACACTGAGGGAATGAGACAGTGAAGCACTGAGACAGTGAAGCACTGAGGCACCGAAACAGTGAAGCACTGAGGCACTGAGACAGTGAGTCACTGAGACTGTGAAGCACTGAGGCACTGAGGCACTGAGACAGTGAAGTACTGAGGTACTGAGACAGGGAAGCACTGAGGTACTGAGACCGTGAAGCACTGAGGCACTGAGACAGTGAAGCACTGAGGCACTGAGACAGTGAACCACTGAGGTACTGAGACTGTGAAGCACTGAGACATTCAGACAGTGAAGCACTGAGGCACTGAGACAGTGAACCACTGAGGTACTAAGACAGTGAAGCACTGAGACATTCAGACAGTGAAGCGCTGAGGGGCTGAGACAGTGAAGCATTGAGGCACTGAGACAGTGAAGCACTGAGGCACTGAGACAGTAAAGCACTAAGGCACCGAGACTGTGAAGCACTGAGGCACAGAGACAGTGAAGTACTGAGGCACTGAGGCAGTGAAGCATTGAGGCACCGAAACAGTGAAGCACTGAGGCACTGAGACAGTGAAGCACTGAGGCACTGAGACAGCGAAGCACTGAGGCTCCGAAACAGTGAAGCACTGAGGCCTTGAGACAGTGAAGCACTGAGGCAATGAGACAGTGAAGCACTGAGGCACTGAGACAGTGAAGTACTGAGGCAATGAGACAGTGAAGCACTGAGGCACTGAGACAGTGAAGTACTGAGGCAATGAGACAGTGAAGCACTGAGGCACTGAGACAGCGAAGCACTGAGGCTCCGAAACAGTGAAGTACTGAGGCCTTGAGACAGTGAAGCACTGAGGCACTGAAACAGTAAGGCACTGAGGCACTGAGACAGTGAAGCACTGAGGCACTGAGACAGTGAAGTACTGAGGCAATGAGACAGTGAAGCACTGAGGCACTGAGACAGTGAAGCACTGAGGCACTGAGACAGTGAAGTACTGAGGCAATGAGACAGTGAAGCACTGAGGCACCGAGACAGTGAAGCACTGAGGCACTGAGACAGTGAAGCACTGAGGCACCGAGACAGTGAAGCACTGAGGCCCTGAGACAGTGAGGCACTGAGGTGGTGAGGTTAAAGTATACGTTTATCGGAACAGGTAGCGATCGAAATACTTGTAGTTAAGTTTACTCTAGAGAAGGACTAACAACCTATTACTCCTCCACGCTGCTGCTACTGACATGTAAAAAATTATTTTTCGTTGAATTATTACGGCAAACGAACATTTCTTTTCTTTCCACGACACTAGGATC